TTACCAAGGTAGAGAAGATGGAGAAACTGTTTGTGCTGAGCAGTTTAAATATTTTTTTTATTATTGATGGTTTATTGTCCTAGTTTGACAGTAACCCCACTTTGGAGAGAGAATTCAATGATTTAGGTGCAGCATTTATGAGAAATATTTTTTTTTACTTTCTGTTATTTGCTGTCATCTTATGTTTTTTTTTTTTTTGTGAATGCAGAAACAGCCAGGATAGCTGGCTGAGGCTGGATGTTTGTTTGCTGCAGTGCCTCATTAACATGCTCAGAGTCTCAACCATCAGCAGCCAATTACACCAGATTAATTAAAAGTTTCTATCAGAATTCAGAATTCTCTCCTCCTGGATGAGCAGCTAGAGACAGTAGACGTTCACTTGCATTGTGTCGTTGACGCTACAGAAATCCCTCACACTGAGCATGCATGCAGCGACAGTGGAGAGGAAAAATCCTTTCAATAAGAGGAAATCTGCTGGAGAATCAGAACCAGGCTCAGTGTGGGCGGCTTCTGCTGAGCCCACCCAGTGGTTTAAGCAGACAGACTGGTTGGCGGCTGCAGCCACATCACTGTCTGTAACTGACAGACCTGTGCTTTTTTAAATCAATATTATATTATTCCCGCATACTTCCTCTGAAGCTGCTGCCATGGTGTCCAGTCTAGAAGCCATGGATGGGGCGTAACCTTCAGGCTCTCAGGATTCATGATTTGCAATAGAAGAGTTTTCGTTTGACCCTCAGCAGAAAAAGTGTGGGTTTTTACAGACCAGCTGGTTCTGATGTCTGATGTCTATGATTGACTGACCATCTAAAACTCTTGGATGTTTTATTTTTCCAGACATTCCCTGCCGTGTCCACACCCCCGCAGGCTAAGGACTGGTCCAATGTCTCATTGCCATCTCAGACGACCTCTGAAGGGATTCTCAGGACTGTCAATCAAACGGTGGAATGCCTCCAGCTGGAGATCCAAAAACTACCTCAGCTCTGTAGGTTTAAATGTCTGTGTTGCATTCTGCATTAAACAGAATTTGGTCCTTAGCATAATATGTGAATTTTCCTCTGCAGGCCAGCAGTCGTCATCAGCTTCGCCCGTCCCTCGGCCCAGCCTAAGTAGGCCTTTAAAAGCTTATTTATGTTACAACATGTCATCTTAAGATTCTGCACAGGGTTGATTCAATCAGATAACGGACAGATGGTTCAATTCTGAATTTCAAGCTAAGTCAATAAAATCTTTTTTTTTTCTTTGCAGAAGTAAGAAGAGTTCAGGAATATGCAGGTAAGGAGGACCTGCTGCCCTCTGTGCTTCATGTTTGCTAGTTTCTAATGAGAACTGATCAGTTGTTTATCTATCAGAGGAAATCACTCTGGACCCCAGTACAGCTCATCCTCGCCTCATCATCTCCCCTGATGGAAAGCAGGTGCAATGTGGCGAGCGTTACCAGCTGGTCCTAGACCACCCACAGCGTTTTGACCGGGTAGTGTGTGTGATGGCCCATCAGGGATTCACATCAGGACGCCATTACTGGGAGGTAGGAGAAAAACACGCTTTTATTAAAAACAACTGTGAATTTGAGTTCACCTTTTCTTTCAGCATGTTGTGGATTTAGCTGTCAAAAATTACGAGCAATATTTATGGCTATTTAGTGCAATGAACGGAATGGGAGGGCTTCTTCTTCCATCCCAGCAGAAAGGAAAGCAGTTGTTGCTATGGCAACACAGTGACACCCCATGTGTGGCTGTAACTCTATGGCGAAGGTTAACATAACATTTAACATTTGCCCATTTCTGAAAACAAATGTATAAATAAAACTATTTCAGAGACGTTCTAATTTTGAATTAATCAAAATTTTTCATAAACTGACTTGTGGTTTTCTGTCAGTGTGACGAGGATGCCTTAGGAGCTGTATAGAGATTCCCAGCCTTTAACAATTTTTGCATTTTCGCTTTATATTGGGCTAGCTCTAAGCTAGCCCAATATAAAGTTTTTTAAATAAAAATTTTATTTGGAGCTAAATATTTCATTAACAAACTAAATACTTAATTTGGAGCTAAATATTTGTTAAAAAACTAAATATTTAATTTGCTAGCTAAATATTTTGTTTGGAGTTAAACATTTATTTAAAAAACTAAATATTTTGGTTGGAGCTGAATCTTTATTTAAAAACTAAATATTTAGTTTGGAGTACGAGTTTGGAGTTGAAATAAAGTACGGTGAAGTTCCTTAATTATGACATTTAATTGAGTTCAG